GATGATGGGATCAACACGGGTCTTGACGAGCTGCTTGTTGTTGAAGCGGAGGACGGCAAAGGTTCTGTCATCGGACTTGGAGCCGGCCGAGGCGGCGCCCAGAAGGGCAGCCAAAGTAGTGGCAGCGGAGAACTTCATGGTGTTAGATTGTACGGTTGGGTGATTGTGCGGTATGAGACGGGTATCAAAGTGGTCGCTGGGACTCTTGCTGGTTGAGTAGGGACTGTATGGGTGCTGATACCGGAGCACCTGGTGAAGTGAAGGGTGTATATCGCGACTCGGTGAGTGACGAAAGTGGTGAGTGAGTGGAATGAGACAGGTCAAAGAGGGCTGTCTAGAAGTTGTAATGAGAGGACGTGCTCAGCAAGCTGTAGCGTTTTGTGGGTTGAAAAGGAATGATGAAAGGAGAGAATAAAATGCCCAGCAAGTGTCGACAGGGAAAAGTGGTGGAATGGAGAAGGTGAGGTCGGGGTGTAGATCCACGGTGGAGGATGGAAGAAGTGGGAAGTAATATATTCATCGGACGGCAGCTGGGACCTAGACCCGGGCGGGACGGGGGGCACACCGTGAGTGGCAGTTGGCAGGCTACGGCGAGGTACCTTGGATCTGGGAAGGGGGCCCGGGTGGTAGGAAGGCGCTAGCAGGGTGGCCAGGGACGCTCAGCCGTGACGCCATGGAGTGTTCGTGGTAGTGCCATCTGGCGATGAAGTACTCGAGCACAGGGCGATAGCAGTAAATGTACATAAGGTAGGTTGAGCGTGGTGAGGAGGGTCGCACCTCGACAACGTGGCAGTCAGAATCAAGATGAAAGTGCCTTGTGTTAAGATGTATGCCCAAGCCATGCACTCGAGAGATGGGATGAACAGGGACATGCTTAATTTCTGGTAACCTCCTGACTGCTATTTTCGAGTACATGTTCGACACAACCAAGGAATTGTCCGCATCATTTCTAAAGGGAAAAAGAACAGACAAGAGCCCAGACGAATCGCCCAGAGTACATTACAGCACTACAAAAAGCTGAGAAGAAACGAAACGGCGGCAAGCTGACGACCCCTTGGACCCCCGCTCATCTGATGTCTGCACTCACGCACTGGATAGGAGACGGGAGTGCACAAAAGTTGAGATGGTGTGCTGCACGGCTGGTTCCTGCATGGTGCATAAGCGTGGCCGACTTCCCATTGGCTGAATGTGATGTCCAACTGCCAAAATTGTGCAGGCCCGAGGTCAATTGTCGCTCAGTGTGACGCCGGAGCTGTTCTTAGCACGAAGAAAGGCACGCTGACTCGCCCCTGGTTTCTGGGCTTCTTCTCTCGCTAGCGTTTGTGCCGCGCGACGTGGCGTCCAGTCAGCTTTCACCGAGACCACACCACGGAAGAGGATACCCAACTGCCAGCCGGCCTCCTGGGCAAAGGGCTTCAAGTGCCCGTTTGTGGCGCTGCAAAAGTTTGATTTGGCGGATCAGAGGCGTCCGCCCGTTTGGAAACACATAGCTGCCAGCACCACCAGGCTCCAGCGACTATCGACGCTCAGGGCTTGGTGGCGGTTGGCACACACACGGGTCGATGCTATATTTCAGGGGCAAAGGGCGTCGTCCATGATCCGGCCCATGACGTCCTGGCAGCCTGTCAAGTGTCTGCCTCTTGCAAGCTCTTGGTCCGTCGTGCATGTCGTGAGGTGTTGATGACGGTGCACATTGCCATGGACTTGAATAAGCAATGCACGCTGCCGATGATTCGGGAATGCTGTCAGAGGACACAAGAAACAGATATTAGCAGCGCCTTCCACAAAACCTCGCAACGTCCCGTCTGTCGTTGCTGCCTCGATGTCTTTGGGAAGGGACAACAGAAGGTTTGCGGTTTACCTTCTTTACCGCTAACCCTATTCGGGCAAGCGTTGTCCAGATGTTTATCCCACTTGCGCAGGGGCTCGCCCTTTCCAAATTGCAGGGTTTGAGACTTTTCCCAAGAAGCAACGGGCAGGAAGTTGGAGACGGACAAGATAGGAAACCACATCTGAGTCGGCACTTGAGACTTTTTTCGAAAGGCTGGAAAGAGTGAACACAGTTCCAACCGCATCGAGCTTCAGCAACATCACCTGCGAGACATCAAACCTGTCATTCGGGAATCTCGGGGTCATTCTTCCAACTGCATCACCCTTCGAACAATCCCTTTCTTGCCCCCCGACGGAATGGCCATGTCTCTCTCCGTTGTCTTGACTCTGGCTTCCTTGGCCTTGGCCGGGCAAAAGAGTTTTCTAGCTGCATAACTTATGCATCCAACTCGTCGTCCCCCACCTCCATCCCTCGCAAAACGTCTGTTCTGGTCGCGCGACGCTCGATTGGGGCACAATTCCCAGGCTCAAACCACCGAACAATGCCATTCATCCTCCAGCGAGAATGAAGGCGATCTAATAGTCGCTCGCCATTCCAATCCCTCGGTTCCATCCGGTCCAAGAAAGTTGTGACACAATCGGCCCTAGCAGAGTCCAGACCTCTGTCGATACCCCCAAAGGCTGGGGATCGGCCATGACAGATCACAGGCCTGCCCACGAGCTCTGGACTCTATACTCTGGAGGTGTCGACTGGGTCAGCGGCTGGTGGGGTTTCGAAACGCCTGATCCTGGCGCTCATCCCATGTTAACCCGTGTGTTCGAGAAAACAATCACGGACTGCCCGGCAAATCATGTCCTCCCGAGTCGGCGGCGCTCCTGCGGGGAGATTGACTGCTGCCTCCGGCTGCAACCTGGCATCAGTCCCTGGCCATCACACCGGCACTCAACTGCGACGAAAATTTCGCATGGCTGGAGTCGACCAGCGCTAGAATAATGCCAAAATTCATGTCTCCGGCAACCTGCTTGAGGGCTGTTCCGGTGTGCAGTATGCACCACCACCACTTCGCGCATTGCATCTATAGTCCCCCGAGAACACACATGACACCTCACTGGTGGTTCTTGGAGTGGCTGGGAACCGCGTGATGCATCTCCGACCGGGCGAGAATCCAGCTGTAGCTTTTGGCTTCAAGAGGCTTTACCGGAATGACGAAACATCGCCGTTCCGAAGGCTTATTTTTGTGCGCATGCGCGGGATAATTCCACACAAAGATTCCTCTTTTGGTCTTCTGTCTTGAATTGCAACAGTCTCACTTCGACACGCGCCAGGTTGTCTTCAGCCAGCCCCGGAAACAGTTGGATCAGAGACATACTCAGTTTTCTTCGAGCAGTATCGCCGATGTATCTTGGAACAATAATGGCCTTGTCTGGGCAAGGGCTCACCGACAAATCCACCGTCGTCAACACCGCCTCTCTTCATCTCCAAATTGAACGATGCCCGCTTCCTACCAAGTTGACCAGCCCTGGGTTCACAACGTTTGCATGGGGTGGTACCGCGCCACGGTGGCTCTCGTCGGGGTCTCAAAGTGCCAAGAGGTGGAAAACCAGGTTGCGAGTAAGTCCCAAGGAAACAGGCGAGATGACTGACGGTCGCGCCTGGCGATACGAATTCTCTTGACATAATAGCCCATATAGCAACAAGCTCTCTTTCCTGGGCAGAGGGGCTCTCTCCTTTGCGTCCTGGGAGTCCCCCTGAGCCGCCGTCTGGCGGGAAATCGGCTGGCGCGCGCTTCCAAAACGCCCGGTCCCCAATGGTGGTCCGCTCAATTAGACAATCGGCAAACGTGAGCCAGAAGCCGCTTCTGGGCAGATTGAGGATGAAACAAATTGTCTCTCGACGCCGTGGCTAGAAAGCATTCAAGGCAGCGAGGCCATCACTGGCATCTCTGCGCGCCATTAACACGGACATGCTTAGCGAGCTTATCTATTGTGCGTTCTAGTCGCAATTTGCAACGCACCTCTCGGCGACCGGCAGTTTGTCATGCACTCTGAGCTTTCTTATTCCTATTGGAAGTTGCGATTGTCCTTGCTAGCCAAAGTGTCAGTCTGTCCCCGTCTGCACCGCAGGGACAGATCGACGGCGCCGCACCATCCCGAGCCGAACCAAGGCCAGACGGTGCCATCTCATCTCTGGCAACGTGTCGCCTCGCCATTACTAACCCAAGCTCTCAGGCAAGCACAGCCGAAAAGATCAACGTGGCTTGCTGCTCTCCGGGACAATGACGGAATTACACCCGTCCCGTGTCCAAACCTCTTGTGAGGGATTTCTCTCAAATCGCCATCCGAGCCCGACGCCCCTTTGTGAAATCAATCTGCTCCCGTCCCTGCGTGTGCGGCCTCACTAGCACGTCACCATCAATCGCCTAGCTCCATTGTTTACCTCCCTTGGCAATCCCTTCCCCCTGGGCGCATCTTGCGAGTAAGCTCGTGCGTGCGCGCCTGTTTGGCCATGTGCCGCGTTCCCGGCCTCCGTTGATAAGGGCTTGCGTCGGGGCTAGGGCTGGCAGTCACGGTCCCGCGGGGATTACTGGTATCAACGGGTAGTTGCGTAAGGCCTCGGAGGTGTTGCGCAGGTATTAGTGTTGCCCAGTTTGGCGGGAAAGGTTGTCCCGACGCAAGACTTTATCCGTCTAGGTTGCAGGTTGAAGTCTTGAGTTGTTGTGTCCCTCGAGAGTGTCTTGGTCCGGGAACGAATCGTTTGGCAGAGACGACTCTGTCATGTTCTGGCCCGTGACACTGTGGCTTTGGCCTCCGGATAGTTGTGGCAACGGTGACAGACTCTAGATGTGCCGCATAGTGTACGTCTGACAACCTCACATGGCACAAACCGAGCTATGTAGCATGGCCCTTCGCATAGCTTGTATATGCGTGACGCTGCCCCTCACTCGACGACCTAGCAAGCTGTGAATGTGCTTTGTTGTACACTATCTAGATATACATTTCGTCCTGAAGCACATCGTGTGGAAAGAAACATCCGCCACTATATCAGCTGCATACTTTGCGCAGCCATATGAGCACCCAACCCGAGACAGATTCAGCGATTAATCCAACCCGACCCTCCACCGGGGCGGTGCCTCTCTACTCATCGGCAGACGGCATCGTCATACCCCTCTCTATCGGTCATCCTCGTGCGGCCAGCAAGCGGCAACCTCGAGGTCGCCATTCTGGTCCACCTCGAAGCTGAGGGCGACGGTACCGCCAAACTCGAGCGGGCTGCCCTCCCACACAACAATGTCGCTGCTCTTGGGCAGGCCGAGAATATCCTCGGCATTGCCGGACACGAGGCGGATGGCTTCCTTGTCGCCGAGGTTGGCGTACTTGGCGGCCCACGCAGCTTCGAGGGCGAGGTCGTGGAGGCGGTAGTCTGCGGGCATGACTGACCATTTGTTAGCTCTTTCTGTAGACACATATCGCAGCAAACATTATGCGACTCACTGTCCGTGACGATGGCGACTGCAAAGTAGACGCCCGCCTCGCTGAGGATGCGGGCGACGCTCGGGGTCAGGGGCGGGCCCACGACGGCATCGCGGTGTCTATAGGAGGAGGGCGCGGGACGAGTCTCGGTGAGGATGAGCGGGATCTGGGACTTTGCGAGCTCCAGGGCGACCTAGATCTTCGTTAGGCCTGTACTGCAGCAGCATGTGTGCGTACTCACCAAGGGCGCTTCGGCACCGCCTTGGATAACGATGTTGACGTCGGGAAAGTCCTTTTTGATGTTGATGATTTGCTGAATGTCCCACTGCTCCTGTTAGCTTCGTTTTTGATATGCTGAATGCAGACTCACATGGTTATTGGCATTGATCACGAGCGGGAGCTTGCCTGACGCAACCTCGCCAAAGGTCGTCTCATTGTGCTTCCCCTGGCCGTCGGCGAGAATCTTGCGCAGCTTCTTGACAGCGGTGCTGATGGTGCCCACGCTCTCCTTTGCCTTATCGTCAATGGTAACGTGAAGCGCCACCTCGGGCCGGAAGACGCCGCCGTCGAGGAGCGTACGATCGGTGCGCGTGAGGATGCCGACGCTGACGCCGTTGACAAAAGCACCGCCCTCGGCGCTAAGGGGCGGCGTGATGGCGCGGGTGATGCCGCCGAGGCGCGCGCGGGCAAAGGCCTTGCCCTCCAGCTGGACGCCGTACTTTGCGTAGTCGAGGTTCTCTGGATCGTTCCCATCCTTCTTCGGGTCGGCAAAGCCGTCTCCGGTGGAATCCTCCGTCGCAATCTCAACCATGCCGAGGGAGGCTGTGAGGGCCGTCAATCCGGGCAGAACGTGGCCGTTGGACAGGTCGATGGTGGTGACGTCGGACTTGGATGCCACCTTGGCGATGGCCGACGAGCATTTGTCAGGCGAGCTGAGACAGGCGACCTTGCCGCTGTTAATCACGAGAGTAAAGTTCTCGCCGCTGACGTCGCGGAAGACCGTAGGCACCTGAGGGTGGTTTTCCAGGAATGTGCTCGTGATACCGTTGATGACGAAACTGGACTTTGACTTAGCGGTCTTGCTGCAGAACGCTTCCCTCTTCTCCGGCTCCAGCTCCGTTCGCATGTTGGGCTTCACGGGGAGGGTCTCCTTGGTCGATGCTTCATTAAAGGCCTTGCCCATGCTCTCCTGAACAATGTGGTGCTTCAGCTGGGGGTTACCGTCAATGTAAACTTGCAGGGGAGTCGCTCCGATAGAAAGCGGGTGGGCATCCCAGACAACCAGATCCGCATCGTAGCCCGGACGAGCGTAGCCAACACGGTAGCCCAGGTCGATGGCCTTGGCGGGAATAGAGGTGACTGACTGCAGAGCCTTCTCTTCCGGTAGGTGGAACGCGTGGCCGACGCCCGCTTGGAACATGATGTACTTTGCGTTCGTCTCTGGCGCGGTGTGGTCTGACTTGTAGGCTACGGGGATGCCATGCTCGTTGAGGATCTTGCCCGCAGAGAGGCTCGGTGCGTAGGCCTCGAACTTGTACAGACTGAACTCGGCAAAGGTAGCGACGGTGACGTTTCTACGCTGGTTAGCATGGTTCACTCACGGATAGGATTTGGCCACCTACTCGCCGTACGCCTTGAGCATCTCGGGAACCTGCCAGGCCTCGAGGGCGTGGTGGAAGGCCCGGACGCGGACGCCGTACTCGCCAGTGACTCGGAGCATTGTCTCAAAGTCCTCGGGGAGGTAGCAGTGGTTCTGCATGGAGACTCGGCCGCGGAGCATGCCGACGGTGGACTCGAGCTTGAGGTCGGCGGGAAAGCTGCCAGACTCTCGGACGAAGCGGTCCTTGACCTCGTCAGACAAGGTCGACACAGTGGCGACGCTCTCGCAGTACTCGTCCTGTTTTTGCATGTGCTCCTTGGCCTTGGCAAACTGCTCGCGGAGGATGAAGGCGTTGGCCATGCGGGTATGGCCATAGATACGCTTGGGGTTCTCGCCGCAGGCCAGCTTCATGTATCGATGGCGCTCTTCGACAGGGATATCACGCTCGAGCAGCAGCTCCTCAACGACGTACTCGCCCAACTCTCCCGACTTGAGGACGTTCTTAATCACGGTACCCTCTTCGCCCATGATGTTGGCGGAACCGGGCAAGATGAGTGACGTGGTGATGCCGCCGGACATGATGATGCGAGTAGCGTCATCGTACGCCTTCAATGAGTCGAGGATACGCAGCATCGGGGTGAGCGGGCCGTAGGTCTTTGTCATTTCATTCTCATCCTCAGTGACGGACAGAGCCGGCCACAGGCTCGCGGCATGATGAGAGTGCATGTCGACCAGACCAGGCGTCACGAAGCGGCTGTGTAAGTCGTGTTCGGTGGCACCGTCAGAGCTGATGGACTTAGAAGCCGTTGTTGCCAGCTCGGTGAACAAGCCCTTTTCAAACTTGATATCCATTGGCTCGGGCGCAATGGACTCGCCGTCAAAGAAGGTCATGTTGCGCAGCACTACCGGCTTATCTTGGCCGCGGACAGCGTTCCATCTCGAGTTGGACTTGCGAGTCTCTGGCTCGGGGCTCTTTGGAAACGTCTTGAGAGCAGCGCAGTGCTTCAAGGACTCATCAAAGCGGGCCAGATGGGCCGACGGAGAGGCATGTCTCGCAGCATCGCGGATGACAGTCTCTCGTTCAATGAGGAAGGTGTGCCAGGCGAGCAGGACGCCGATGAAGACGCAGACGAGCACGCGGGGCGAGATGAGGTTTCGGAGGAGAGTGCGGCGGGGCCGGATGCGGGGATACGCGGCGGCCTCGTACGGGGGCGGTACCTGAAAAGAGTCCCGGAAGAGGTCCGCCTCCTTGGAGGGGATGTGTGGTTGTGTCATTGTAACGCGGTGCTATGTCGCGAGCAATGGTGACCGACAATTGGGGGCAGAGGTCAAGTTATGCAACTGAGGGACATCACATCATCGATTTACAACGAGTTCAATTGTCAGATCGGAACAACTTTTGATTGCGAGTCCGAGGTAGGAGCAACGGCAGCTTGGACGAGTTGGGAAGGTGCAATTGAGTTGCTACTGGAGCTGTGGAAAGCTTGGATACGGGGTCGCATGTACTTTGTCCGATAAGAGACGACATCTGTTAGCGACGTCTACGGTATCAAGTGCTTTCAACTAGCAGGCAGCGGAAGAGAGTACTTTGACCCACTGAAGCTTTATCGTCGACCAGGAGCTTCGTTGCAGGGAAAGTGCAGGGGACTCCACGACTTTCAAGGGGCCTCTGTCTCACGGAGTGATGCAACTCGTCAGTGGCATCGTGAGACGACGCGTCCAAATGAGTAGAGGCGCGTACTACCCATCTGGCCCTGTGTGTGAACACTGGTTGGTGGATGCCACTACCACGGCGATGCCCAGGATAGACATTTCCAAAAGACCAAATCACCAGAGGCACGGAGGCACAGACACACCCGGGTCATTCTCGAGTCGGGTCGTTCAGCAAAGTTTGTCCTGATGGGAGGAAACCCGCCGGACCGGCTTCTTGACTTTTATAACATTGTTACAACTCCATTTTAGACAAGTCGGTGGGCTGCGAGCTGGAGTTCCAAGCTATCGTGATGTCGTGCCCCCTAGCGCCAATTGCCGATGGCAGGTCATTCAGATGAGGCGACGCGAAGAACAGACGAGCATCCTGGCACTCGACTACACTTGATGATTTTGTCACTACTACAGTACGTATCCAATGGGCGATGATCCATATGGTTTGGTTTGGTGACACCGGGTGGATGTTTCTGCACCATCTGCACGTCCTTCCCGCCCGTCTTCGTCTCGTCTTTCCCGGTTGGCTTGGGCCCCTCGGTTTTGGTGGGACTATGCCCCCCAAAAACGGCATCTGCCACAGTGGGCCCGTTTTGGCTCTGTTTGGGATTGTTTGGCCCTTGGAACCCCAGCTGCATCCAGCACTCGAAGCTCCCCGGGCGGAAAATCACCTTTGGCAATCTGCAGGGCATCATCTTTGATACCATACCATCAACTTTTCTCTTTCTTACCACTTCCACTTTACCTTCAATTGAATCGTTTCTCTTGTTGTTTTTGGCTGGACTACAATCATCGCGCGGATTTGTCTTTCATCAAGTTTCCATCTTTTTCATACCCCGCCACTGTACAACACTCCATCATGCCGGAATCAAAGCTGGAGCAGGCGGTGCAGCCGCGCCCGCCGCAGTCATCCTTTCGACTAGCCGAGAGGGTGTGTCAGCTCGTCCTGGTCTTCTCCATCAGCTTCGCGGCCATGTTCATGATGATGACCAAGATTTCGCCGGGCAAGTGGCCTTTGACGGAGCCGTCAATAAGCAAGCCAAGACTCAAGGTGTCGGGCCAGCGCGACTACCTCATTGCCATCTTCTCCGATCTGCACTACGGAGAGCAGGAATTTGGCTGGGGCATTGACCAGGACAAGAATTCCACCAGAGTCATGCAATCTGTCATGAAGAGCGAACAGCCCGACCTCGTCGTATTCAACGGCGATCTCATTACTGGCGAGGATACCCACAAGGAGAACTCGACGCTCTACATTGACCAGATTGTCGCGCCCCTCCTCAAGACGAACCAGCGGTGGGCATCCGTCTACGGGAACCACGACTCCAAGCACACGCTGGACCGCGAGCAGCTGTTCCGTGCCGAAAAAGGCTACGACCTCTGTTACACAACGTCCATGGGCGATAATCTCCCGGGCATCACAAACTACTACGTCCCTGTCTACGAGGGAGACTCCAAGGACCCCATTCTGCTATTGTGGTTCTTTGACAGCCGGGGCGGCACTAGCTACCAGACGGATTCCGATAACATGGACGACATTCCAAACTGGGTTGCCCCCGAGACGGCCGAATGGTTTACCAAAACCTACGACGACCTCAAGGACAAGCACGGCCGTGTCATTCCCAGCGTCGCCTTTGTCCACATCCCCCCTCACATCTTTTTGACGGCCCAGCAGACCAACCTCGACCCCGCCAAGTTCCCTGGGCTGAATGCCGACAGCCCGCTAGCCATCCAAGGCGAGGGTGGAGAGGACGCCCCCTTCGTCGAGGCGCTACTCGAGGCCGAGGGTCTCCACAGCATCTATGTTGGGCACGACCACGGCGACTCGTGGTGCTCGACCTGGCCCGGCCACGACGCCGGACTCGGCGCCGAGGCCCCATTCCTCTGTTTTGCAAAGCACACGGGCTACGGCGGATATGGCACCTGGGAACGCGGCGCTCGGATGATTAAGCTCTCCTTCACGCAGGGCGACGACCCAGACATGTCGGTGGAGAGCTGGGTCCGCATGGAAAACGAAGAAATTATAACGCGCGTAACACTCAACGAGACCTACGGCCAGGACACTTATAATGGGGAGTAAATCAACACACACACACATGGGTGGGGATGCACATGCGACAGAATGTCCGAATGACGGCTTTATCCTGCATACTCTTTATTTGGCACCGGCAGAGCTATGCCATGTCCCGCTCCGTCGCACTGACTGGTCTCAAAAGCAAAACATGCGTGGCAAGCAGTCGTCCCGAAGGATGCTGTGCACGCTGTGCCCCATCACTCCATTCCTGCACGCATTCCTCTAGGCTCGCAGGGAAATTGCAGCATTCGCCCTGCGGTCAGCTGCCGTCAGCCAGCCCTTGGCGACCGTGCAAACGCCTCGCGGCAAACTAAAAAGGCGCCAAACAGCCAATTGAGCAATCATGGCAATTGCCATAATACGATTGTGTCTTCCTTCGTCTGTTGTTCCTCGCCCTTTCTATTTCCAAGAAGGATAGTCACGATGGACAGGAATCAGACTCGGACAGAAGGACCGCCGCCGAGATACACGGCTTCGAAGCCGGTCGACATGTCTCGGCAACCGCTGCGATACGCTCGCCGCCCGATTTACATACTCGTCACCTACTTGGTGCTTCTCATCGCACCATGGCTCTGCGTTTGCGTTATTAACCGAAAAACGACATCCGACCCGTGGGGGATCATTATGCGGCAAGACCTCGACTCATATCACCGTTGGATCGCTGCGGCTTCGTTTTTCAGCACTGTGGCGGCTGTTATTGCTCTGCCGTGCGTTGCCGCGCTGTTGGCCTACGGCGCAGTCGTCTTCTCACAGCGCCGATCAAAGCAGCAGACCCTGACCGTGAGGCAGCTGCTTGCCATTTCCGACTTGAAATGGACAGCGTTTGTCTCCAGCGGGCAATCGTCTTCCTATCTCCTGCTGGCCACCGGACTGCTTCTTCTCAGTACGTTACAAGCCTTTTGGGGGTGGCTACTCCGTCTAACATGCAACAGCTGCCGTGCAGCCACCACTACAGTCACTGCTGATGCCGCCATCGAGCCGCCCAGTGTACTCGTGCGACAGTCTCCGACCATTGAGCAAATGGGACAGAACATGCGACGGCAAGGGACAACCGGCCCAGACAATTGGCAAGGATGCCGAGCCCGTCTTGCTCCGAGAGTCCAATGCATCTCAAATCGTCAACACAGTCAGAACGAAGATGGTCAACATCACGTCAGCCGACATCCAAGAAAACCTGTGGCGAGTCGACGACAACCACCGGAGCTTCGTCACGGGAGAGGACCAGACGTACAACGACTCTTTCTGGGTATCAGCAATTCCCGCTGGCGTCACTACGGGACCTCTCCGACAGCACTCAATTCGGCTCAGCTCAACCGCAGCTTGCCAGGTTGCAGATGAGTACCCCGCCAACTGCGACGGGTATGCAACGTCCCTCCAAGGCTTCGGCATCAGTGTGAGAACGTGCATGCCTCGCAATACCACCAGCTCTGCACCTCGTGGGGTTCCCCCGAGGCGACGCCAAGACGTCCATGAAGTGCTTTACATTGACGCGCAGATTAGTCCAGAGGCGGCAAAGACCCAGGACTTCTTATCGGAACCGGCTCAAAACGTCACCATCAAGTGTGTCGCCAAAACCAGCCGTGCCTTTTTCGAGATTGGCAACCTTCAAACGGGACTTGTTCCATCCAACATCATCAGCGAGTGGCCCTCGGACGAAGACATGGCAGCGCATTTCCACGACTACGATTGGCAGGGTAGCCTCATCACCAACGAGTCTGGAGACGACTGGAACCGCGACCGATTCTCCGGCTGGACATCTGCACAAGGTCCGTTGCGGTCAACAGCCGAGGCGCTCTTTGGCAACGGCTCATACCCACAGGCTGTACTCGATCTTTTGAGTCAGACCTTCCCGGATGGCCAAGTTACCGACAACACCACGTCCAACAGCGATGCGAAACGCAGGGCGTGCTCTTTGCCGACGCCCCTCGGTGCGTGGCAGCTGCCGTACAACTCTCACAACGACGACTACGACTCGTGGTACTCGTCCATATACCAGGGATGCTCGCTTGCCGAGCTCCCCAAGACATTGTTCCGGATCGCACAAGGCATTCAGTACGTCAAGGTGGCACAGAGCACTCTCGGCGTCGGCATGTACTTGTCCAACGTGGCCGTCCTACAAGACGCAGCATCCAACGACGCGGCGAGGACCATTTACAACTTGGCCGGCACCGAATTTGTCGCACCGCGGTACACCGTAGGCGCCACCGTCGCCATTAGCTTGCTCATCAGCATGCAGGCCATTGCACTTATCATCCTCGTCTGCTACATTTACAGCCTGCCCACCTGGACCGACACCTTGGACGCCTTTGCCATGATGAGGCTGGGAGCACACTTGAGAGACTCGGTGGACTTTCCACTAGTAAGCCGGGCCAGTCGGGAGGAGATGGGGGCGTTGGATGAGACGGATGGACTGCTCGGCGTCGTCGTGCGGGGCGCTGCGGGTAGGTCAGAGGAGGACCTCGAGCTCGCCGCCCTAGCTTCGTCCAGCACCGCGCAAAGGAATGAGACATCTGCGCATCAGTATGCGAGTGTGAGCCCGCTATCACCGGAGAGCACGGTCGATCAAGACCCATCGGCCCCGGCCACCCAAACGAGCCATGTGGTGGACGCCACTAGGCCTGGGATGGACACTAGCGAGCTGAGCGAGTACCTCCAAGGGGCCCCGCCGGCGTCCCCCACGACAACAACCACCACTACAACGGTGTCTTCCCCCCGAAGCCCGTCGCCGCCCCCGCCATACCTGCCGGCGAGATCGTCCAACAGAGGCCAGCCGGTGAGGGGGCCGTTTGAGCTGGGCCTGGGAGCCCCTGGGCTCATTACAAGAGCGTTATGGGAAAGGTACAGACCGAGGTAGAAATGCATAGGGAGCACACGGGAAGGAAAAGTGTGTAAACGGAGTTTTGTTTTGTCACATCTATTTTGATACCCACAGAGAAGAAACATTTTCATCAATACTATATCACCAAGTCTCCGGAATGGAGCGTCACTCTACACTGGTTGTTCGAGACCGCTATCGTGAAGAAAGGGAACCGACGCCAGCGCCACCACGGACGCCGGGCTAAGAAAAGAAGTCTAACTTGTAAGTCGAGCGATCGCCGGCGCGGTTCTGGACCCCGCGAATGTGGATCCCCCGTTCTAGCTCCGTCTAGCCCGCCCTGCCACCGATACAGAAATGCTGAGAGTTTCAGGCGGGAGGATTTTTAGCAACCCCCAAAGGTCGTGCGTTTTGCTGTTTGTTTGGTGGTTGAAAGAGGTACCGCTAAGCTGGGAGCTAGCCCAGCTATCCTGCGCTTTAACCGTATCGGGAGAGCTCCCTGCGTCTCAGCTCGCCCGTTTTGGCAACTTTGGGTGGGTTGCTCCGGCACGCCACATTGGACTGGCGTACACTTTTAGACGCGGCGGCGCGTGAAGAGGGAGGGATGGGGAGGGGGAATACAGTCTGCGACGGCCTCGCTGGTAGTCGGAGGATTGCGTTCTTGGTAGTGGAACGATTTGTTGGACTATTTACGAAGCTTCTTTGCTAGTAAAGAAGGGGTTGAAGACGGTAATTCTTCCTCACGTCCCTTGCTGTGGTGGTTGGTATGCGATTCTTCGATAGATGGTTGGGTCCGCATTCCACGATACATTCTTCAATCTTCTCGCCACCTTCGAAAGGGCATTGTCTTTCTCTTGCTTATCTTTTCTGGTAGCGTCTTTTTGTTTTGGCCAGGGCTGGCGATCCCCCACGCGAGGAATGTGCTGTGACGAAAGTCTGTCCCTGGCTCAATTGCCATAATCCTGAATCAAACAACGGGCTCATCCCGAGATCCGGATCACATCACCACAGGCTGTATACCCTTCCTACGCAACCCCTGCTCAAGCATCTTTGGCATGGCACTGAGTCTGTCACGCGCCCACCACGCGGGTTCCTCGTCGTCCTCCCCGAGAAGCAATCGTGAGGTCTCATAAAAGTGGTACAATACAAGCAGCGCCCTCGGGTCATTTGCGACAATCATGTCGAGGAACGGGCCGAAGCAAAACAGCGGGAAGGCGAGGACGTACCGCTCGAGGTCGGGCGTCGCGGGGGGCTGGGGGTTCGTGCTGCGGTGTTGCCAGAGGGCCATGATGACGGACAGCCGCTCCACGATGCCGGTGAAGGCGGCGCGTTGACGGTCCGCGCTGCTGTGGTGCTCCGGGGTGGTGCCTCGGCCTCTGGGTGTCATCTCATCGTATCGATCTAGAAAGGCTCTCTGGATCCGGCCGCGATCCATGCCCTGTTCCGCTACGATCTTGTCGAGAGCGTCGCACGGGGCGTCCTGCCATGCCTTGGCAAAGATGCTGCCTTGGCCCTGCGCCCGGGTCCCGAAGAGGAAGACCCTCACGCCGGAGCTGAGGAGGAAGAGTTGGTCCCGGGACTGGTCTAGAGTGGTGTCGGTGTTGTCAGAGCCATCGATGAACTCCAGATTACACCACGTGAGATAGTGTATAAGCTGCGCCGTGAAGAAGAGAGAGTCGTACCCTCCCCCAGCCCCGTCGTCACGGCCGAGTTCGGCGCCAAAGAGCGCGCAGCTGCGGGACAAGAGAGCCAGGCTCGCTTCCCGGTAGACGGCGTCTCCTGGTCTGAGAGTGCTGAGGTGCCGCGCCGAGACGGCGAGGATGGCCGTCATGAGGTACTCTGCCCGGAAGGCCAGCGGGAGGACAGACGCCCAGACGTCGGCGAAGCAGAGGGTGGAGATCGTCGCATGCTGGAAGTGGTGGAGGAGCTGCATGTGGAGGAGGTTCACGGGTCCCGAGGCGTCTACCGGCCGTGCCGGTCCCGTGCCGACGGCGGCAGCGGCGGCGGGCGATGAGGACGACGTCGTCTCTGGGGCGGAGGACTTTTGCGGGCGTGTGCATGGTTCGTTGCGGCGGATGCAGTTCGCGCAGGGGGCTGATTCGTCGCACTGGATCCCGTGTAAGTCTTGCGAGTCTGGGCGACCTCGACTGAGAGACATTGGGACCAATTACCTTTACCTTCCTCCTTTTGC